GCATGCAAAAGTCATTAATCAATGCTCTATAGCATTCCCCATTGATTGTAACTATATGGTCGGCTTCATTTTTAAAGAAATATTTACCAATGATTCCCTCTACCCATATAGCACTCCAAACAGTGACTTTTCGGTGATGTAACGGCGTCTCAACAATGGCTTGTGGATTATGACCATTCCAAACGCGAAAATTTTTTGTATTAACGTACCAACCAAAACCTCATCAAACCAAATTGTTGCGCGCTATAGTGTATGAACTTATTCGGGTCTTCTACGATACTCCGCTCGACAACAGCAAAAGCGGCTTTGGTGGGCACTCTGCGGCGTCTCTAAGGAAGCGCATTATCCACTAGAAGAAACGTACTCTCACGCAAGTATAGTTCTGACCTGATTATAGCTGGCCGTCATGCTGGGACCTACTATCTGAGAGATCGAGTTAAATTCATTCCATATATTATAAGAATAATATTTTTTCTCAAGTTTTCTGAGATGTCACCATTTGGAACAGCGTTTTAGGACTCGCTTTTAAGAGAATTCAAGTATTGGATAACAAAAGCTATGGAAATATCTTTGCTGTATATATACCGATTTCTCAACTTTATCTACAACCCTTTATTGGTATTTTGTCTGGCCTGACTTTCTTTTATTTACACCTGACATGAATTCGCTTAAAACAGTCAAGTTTCATTCTCACCATGAGTTAAGTCCAAAGTATACAAATGCTTTTAGAGAATAGAATGAACACCACATATAATACATACCATAATATGTATTGAATATTGGTTTATCCACATTTCATTTAAAGCCAGAATGTCACATCGTTGAAGATACACATTTTTCAAATGCTTTTCTGAATTAAGCTTCACCTAGTGCTCAGAGCCTACTGAACAAATGTAAATGTCAAAAACATGTGTTTTTTGCTTTGTTTTAACAGCTGATTTGACAGCTATGTCTCCAGGACTCCATACTCGTACTTCTAAAACATCGTAAATAAATATTTTTAATTATTAATTGTTAAATAGTCAAACTTTTTGCAATTAATTAAAATTTTTAATATAAATTCTTTATTATAGAATACAAAATTTCTTATAGGGAATATTCTTTGTTTTATATATGTCAGATTGAAAAGCAACACAGCTGTCTTGCCTTTTCAAATTAGCGGTTGAATTGTCTTTCGATGTTGTTTCTTGAATATTAAGAAGAGCTAAGTGAGCGAAAGAAGCCTCAACTTTAAAAAGCTGTCACATCAATAAAACAGCTGCACTAAAACCATCAAAATTAAAACGATGACATATTGAAAATAAAAATTTTGAACATTTTTTGAAAGGCACAGCGGTTGAGCCACTCATTTATGAGGAGGGAAACAAAATGTCAGCAAGCTAATTATTTTGTTTTGTGACGTTTAATAGAGATTAACGTGCTCAAAAATGAAAACAGACTTTTATGTTTAACTCGTGGTTGATGCAGCTGGCCCAACTCTAGCAAAAGTATACTTCTTTTTAATATTACAAAGCAATGTTAATTTAAAATTCAACAGACTCGAACTTATAACTTTGATTAAGTAAAATTAAGAACTACAGCGTCTATCAATACCGATGACAAGATTGTGACAGCTCGTGGAATTCATGTTTGCTTACAGATTTGTGTCAAATCCTCATATGGGTCAGAAAACGTAATTGCATCACCAAGAATTGACCGTTTGGTGCGGATTGTAGCATAATGGCATCATTGGATCTTACTTCTTTCGAAACGAGGAAACAGGAAATGCACAATTTTGACCGACTTCTTTTCCCGAAATTTGATGGAAACTACGCGGATGATCTCCAACAAGATGGTGTGCCGCCTCATGTTTCAAGTTTAAACATGGATATACTGCGTGCAAAGTTTGACGACTCGTTAATTTCGTGAAATGGCCCAATCAAATGGCCCCCAAGGGGGTATGTTGGGTCAAGCTGGTTAGGCCAATCAACAAGGCAAGCTCGAGGAGCTCGAAGATAACATTAAACGCACTATAACCAAAATTCCAGCTGAACGGGTGAAGATATGCATACTTATTTTGGGACCCTAAAGTGTACTTGAAGAATTTAATTTTTTTTATTTTCAAATACTAGATTCAGCGAACCCTCACTTGTTCCTCAAGAAAAAATAGTAATAATAAAAAAACAAGAAAGATTAAAGTGAATAATATAAAGCTTTTGAAATACATAAGTACTTTGGCAATAGCGGCGCCTAATCCCAAATCGATTTATGTGCACAAAACCAAAGTCATAAAACTAACCCATCAAATGGAGAAAACAAAAGCAATGTTAAATAATTGTTGCAGGTACAACGGCGCACCTGAAAAATTCAACGCCGTTATCAAGCTGGCAAATGCCTTCATTTTGTGCTTTTTACGCGCGCAAACGGAGCTCTTATTGTTTTGTGCTTGCTTTATAATCATTGTTTCTGACTTCCCAATCCACTGCGCGCTCCCCGCGTTTTCAATATGTTTCCACCAGCTATGCGAATAAAGTGTGCTGCTCCATCTGCGCTAAAACGTAAACAACAAAAACAAAAGGGGGAGAGGGAAAAAGCATGAAGAGCGTAATAAGTACAAATCGAACACGGTATTGCCAATAAAAATGTATTACATAATTTTTTCCATCATAAAAATTGTTGTAGTAATTGGAAGACAAGTGAACAGCAAATGCGAAAACAAAAAAAAAACGAAGAAAACAATTGAAAAGTTAAAAACTTTTACAATGCTTCCATTTGTGCACTTCACTTGAACAAAGTGGCTGCTGTAAGTGCCACACTTAGGGTGAGTAATAATAGCTAGCGGGGGCAGAAATAAGCTGTAGAGAAAAACAAAACACTTGCACAGCTCAGCTTAGATATGAGTGAGTGTATCTAAATTAACATACATAAGCACACGCAAGGATATGTTTTACAAATGGTGGCAACAACAGGCTCTGGAATGTACTGTCAAATCTGTAAGCGTGGTAAAAATACGAACACATTCATTTGCCCAAAATGAACTGAAGTTTCGCTTCGAAATGGTTTCGGCCAATAACCATTCAACCTTAGTCTCTCTGTATATCTTACAATTTTGAGTGAAATATTTTACGAGTTTCTTAAAGGTTTTTTTAATTCAATTTTTCGCATAAAACTTTTGTTTTGGCTTTCCCGTTTACAAAAAAAACAAAAACGATGTTCATTCTTGTCATAATTTAATGCCAAATTCACCAAAAATATGTAGAGAGAGCAAAAAATTCATAGAATCTCACCGATTCTGAAAACAACACCCGAAGCGGTCGGTTGAATTTTTGATGATTTGGCCAAATATGTGCGAATGACTTGAAATGTTGACATTGAACTCTTTAAAGTGCGAGGCTTTTAAATTCGCTTATTTGGAATATTCTGAATTTGCGAACATCAGCAAGTCTTACCCCAACCAGATCTCGGATATATCAACTTTAAAGAGATCTCATTACAAAAATTAGTTAATTTTTCAAAAATCAGCTTCAAAAATAATAGCTCTTTCTCAATTTTAAGAGCCTAGTAAGGCTGATCTAATACAGATTTCGCCAAAAAATTTAATCTTTGAATTTAGTTTTCTTAGGTCCTTATTATCGAACTCGCGGCAAGGGATCGCACTTGGACAGTTTAACATTCAGTCCTTTATGAATCGAGAAAAGGAATTTCTGTTATTAGATCTTTACTGTCTACAAACCGCCTTAAATCTACTATTACAAAACTGCTTAGAAGTATAATTTACATTTCTGCTAGCTCAACTGGATACCTAACGTTGTGAAATCCAGGTTATTTTAGCTTTGACCTCGCGAATGAGGGACAGCCAAAAAGAAAGTGTTAAGTTGTTATCTACCCATATTCCACAACTGGCAGCCGGTAATATTTTTAATCTTAAATCGTGGACACTTATAGCGCAATGACCAGTTAGAACCCGTACAATAGGGGAAAGACTAACCTTGCTGAGCGCGAAGTGATCACCGATTCTCTTGTGGTGTACATTTGTCCAGAAGGGTCTGGCGACCGCCTGTGATTTCACTATGGCTTGCTACTCAAATGGGAGTCGCTGTCCTTTAATGTGAGAATTTCGAGTTGTTTAGACACATGTTCATTTCGATAGCCAGTTTCTCAGAGTTTGATAGTAACTTTCGCGGCCATATACCTTGCGGCAATGTCGACTACGTTCACAAAATTAATCCACACGCCTCTTTGAGGATAACAAATGCAGCTTCTTGAATTCAAATAGACGTTTTCGTATAACACAGCACCATTGAATGCAGGAAGAAATCAGAGAATACACTAAAAATAAATTTCAATATTAAAGCTTTTCCCTAGTGCTAGGAATTGCCGGTTTATGAAACCTTGTTGGCGGTCGATCAAAGTTTTAATGAAAGAGCAAGACTTGAATAAGCAACTTTTGCAGATAAATACCGGTATATGCCTCGTCAGATGTTTAAAAATATAGTTTGAAGTCGTAGTCTTGTGAATTTTCACGGATGGAGTCTAATGCCCAGAAAATGTTTGACTGCGCGAGTATATGTTGATTAATTTAGTTAATAAGGAATGTAATGTTTAAAAGAACGTTAACTAACTTAACTATAAAATCCATGTGAAGTAGCCTAACCTAACCTAACATAAGCCTAAAAAGGAAAACATCACTCGGTAGGAAACGTGTCACATCTATGTTTTTAAATAAAGTATAATTTTATTCACGATTCATAGGTAAGCGAGAGCTTTAAATAATTACTTTCTGAACGGTTAAAGAAATATACAAGTAAATATGGGTTTTTGGTAAGGATACTTCACTTGAGAAAATACTGAAGTTTCACACTATAAATTTTATTATTTATTTAAATGTACAGATGAAAATCGGTTCATTAGAAGATTGAAGAAAGTATATAATCAATTATAAAATAATTTTTACTAAGTCTCCTACACATTAAGAGAAGACTTGCCAGTTTACCACAGTTAGTATAAACGCATTATTTGAATAAGTTTATAAAAAATATTTGCTTTATTTACAATTTTTAGTTTTCCATTGAATATTTGTATGAAAAATCCGAAAGAAAAAATTAAGTAAAACATCAGAAGTCACGCCAATCTAAAAAATCACTTACTTTTGTTACACAATTAAGTAATTGTTAAGTCACTTTAAGTATTAATATTAAACCACTAAAGATTATATGCGACAAAAAGAATATTACAATCTTAGATGCTAACGTTTTTTCGCTTTCAAAGTGTTTTTTCGCATATATTTTTGTGTTTAAATGCCGCCTACGCACAAACGCACATCAAATCTCCGCTAAAAAATAACGCCATAAGGCCACAACGTCAACATAACACACACAAATGTAGACCGTTGCGTAGCTTGGCCGGGCCAAGTTATCCGCATTGTTAATTGGATTCAAACCAAGTGGTTTGACGTCTCCGTCTCCGCCCTCGTCAGCGGCAACGGAGTACGCACAACGGAGGTGGCATCCGTGGCATCCACGCGCGTCTCCTTACCCACAGCACTCGACTCATCAACGGCTGCCATGGCGCTGAGGCTATTGCTACTATTATGCCCGGTTTTATCACACACGCCACTGAGGCTCTGCGCGACTTTCTGCGTGTAATTCAACGTATCACCGAGGCTGCTGCCAGCACTGAGGCGCTTCTTCTTGTACGCATTTTCATTTATATTACCATCGATGTTGTTGTTACTGCCGCCACTAGCGCTTTCGCTGCGTTGTAACCAAAGCGGCGCTAATCTCAACATGAGCACTGCTCCCAGCGGCGCGGTGAAAATGATGGCTAACACCGAAATGATAAGCACATTGTTGGCCAAAGCTAGGCTCTGTTCATCGACCGTTTTTAATGATCTGGCCATATCCAAAGCAAGCGGACCCAGCGCAGCCTAAGGGTGAAAATGTGTTGGAAATCAAGAAACATAAAACGAGATGTATGAAGAGAAGAGTATATAAGGAAAAAATTGACAAAAGAATATTATTGCTTAACCAGGAAAAAATATAAAAATTTTGTGTATGCGTGGGTATGAGAGTCGGTGTGAAGATGTGTAAGTGAAATGATGGATAAAGTTATGATGGTAATAAAATTAAAACATGAAAATAAACGAAATCTGAAATTGAAATATATACTAAGTAAAATTCTGAAAGTCATCTCCCGCTATCTGCGGCTCCAACTTTATCTACCGTTATTACTCGCAATATTTGGTCATGGTGCTACTTTAATGACAGCACCTCACACAAATTGTCGTCATGCAATCAACTACCAGAATGTCCGTCTTTTTTCGCGTGGTCAACACGAGCCTTCGCTTGCCCACGGCTGTCGGCTAAGTGAGCGTTAAAATTGGACGCGTAGACGAATAAAGAAATTTACACGCTCATAAAATGCCATATTGTCAGTGGCGTTGTTATTATTTAATATATTAAATTAAACAAACAAAATTAAGTGGTCCATGGTTGGGAACAACGCAAACAAAAGGAAGGAAGGAAGGAAGACTTGGCCACACCCATTGACGTATCGGAGGTGGCGAGCATACGCTGCGACAACGCGCTGTTGTTGTAGGAAGTCAAACGATATCATCAACTTTAAATCAGTGCGTAGCCAATATAAATTAGTTTTGTGGCAGTAAAGCAATGTTGTCTGATCAGAGATTTTTCACGGAAAATTCAAGGAAATTTAATTAAAATTTCAGTTTAAATGAACAAGTTTTTGCACACGTGAGCATTGAATGTAATGAAGGAGAGAAAAATTTAGCTATATGACGTGTGTAAGCTTACAAAAAGCTCTTTATGTCTATTTTCTTTTTGCTCTAGACCCTTTTATACACCACTTTCGCTTCGATCTGCTGCTGATAGTATTTTATTAAGCTATGTTATATAAATATGGTTGTAAATACCGGTTTCAGAAAAACATTACTTAAAGAGCTTTTCATTTTTTTTATATTGGTTTTTTGTGGACCTCACTACTGCCTCACTGCAGAGTCATTCATTCATTCTGACATCAGTATAGTACCATTCTCCTGCAAGCTAGTAACAAAAAAACACTCGCTTGGATAAAAAAAAATTCATAAGAAGCAGCAGGAAGAACTCGGCTATATTTTACCAGATCAACGAAGCTGATTATTCAATATTGTATTTAACAAATAGATTTAGAAGTTATTCAAACGAAGAGCGCAACATTATTGGTTTTTAGAAGCTGTTTAGGATAAGAGCACGTCCACGGTTTTTTTCGGTTTACTTTTGGATAAGTGGACATCAAATATTATTTATAAGGCTTGAGCTCTAAATAAAAAGTTTTTGGTTATTTGTAGTGGGCTGTACCAGCCATATTAAATTTATTGGTTTACTACCTGAAAGTACAAATGGATATGCAGCACCTTAGCTTTAAGGCTTGAACTCCCTAAAAGAGGTTTTTGACGAAAAATGCTGATGGTGAGAAGTTTCTCTAGCGAGAGAGAAGAATAAATATAACAAGCAGCGTCTAACCGCAACTTATTTGAAAAATAAAAATCTATCTACCCACCATAAAGGGTAGGCTTGCTCTGTCCATTGGCCTCAAGCTTGTAACATTTCATCTGCCACTATTTTGTTATAGTATTATAGTTTCTTGTGAACTTAAAAGGTTTAGTACAAATAAAACTTCAAATCTGTATTACTCATAAACAATCAAATTTAAATTAACACGTAAGGATATAACTTTTACTTAGCTCTTTGCGGATTTTCTTTGAAAGCAGTCGATTTCGACTAAACACTTCTAAGATCGAGGTTTATGAAAAGCTAACTATAGAAAGACTATATCTTTGACGAACAAAAGTGTTAGTATAAAAATTTAAGGTAAGCTATCTTTGAAGGAAAGAATTTGCTTCTCATGGTATTTGAGTAGTCTATGCCTTCTTCTTTCTTTAAACCGCACCCGTACTACTGAAGACTTTTTATAAACTAGTTCTATTTTCTATATTTAATACATAGGCGTTCATTAAAAACGCATTAACGATTTTCAAAAGGTGGAAGGTTAGTCCCTGCAGCAAACCTTCAAAGAGAACTCGTGAAAAAAAATCACGAAAAGCGGAAAACCGCGTGCTTTTTACTTGCACTTTGTATGCTTTTCTTTGTTGTTAACGCACATTACATTTTATTTCGCTCTTTTTCCGCGCCCATTTGTTCTGTTTGATAGGACTTTTCCATAAACTTGTATATGTATACTTATATACATATACATATGTATATGTGTAAGTGTGTGTATTTGCATACTTTTTCCATCAGCTTCCGTGAAGAGCCAAGAAAAAAAAAGTTGCATCCATTTCTTTGATATGTCTTTTAAACTCAAGACAAGAGGTCACGAGCAAAAGAAAAAGGCAAAGTAAATAAATTAATGGAAATAAGATGAACTAAGAACGTAAGTATACTTGCTAGGTTTTAGTCTCTAAGTTGGGCTATTGGGTGAATATTAGAGTGATTTTAACCCTTACACACAAAAATTCATTATAGAAATTCGTAAAATCCTCGGAGATTAAACTCTTTCCGAAACATGTCACAGGCAAAGTTTGAGGTAAGGAACGCAAAATAAATGATAAAATATTCAACGGTGCAACTTTTTTCAAATTCGGGAACTTTTGATAATTTCGTTGTTGTTGTTGAAAAGTAAAAGTAAATTTAACGATTTTTTTTCTCAAAACTCTCTAAATTAATTTAAAGAAATTAAACGAAATAAAATTGAAATAAATGAAATACAAAAGAATGTTCTTTTTTCTATTAACAACAACAACACTCTTCACTGACACTCGAGCGCATCACACGTTCTTAGTGTAATTCTCAGCGCGTACACACAGCAACCAGCAGCAAACAAACCGACCAATGTGGCCAACCGCGTGACTTACCGAACAACAAACAAACTACACAGCAGCTGCTGCCGCTGTTGCTGCCAACAAACCGGCCAACAAGTTAGTCAACTGGCCAGCGCAAATGGGAGCGTCCAAGTAAAGCCAAGCGGGCGAGAAAAATGTGAATCGCAGCAAACCGCATATTTAGCCTAACAAAGTATAAGCTGACCGCAGAAGCATGCAACATATGTGCCGCATACGGCTACATTACAACATGCAACATACAACAAGGAAATTGCGAATCGAAAAATAAAAGTTCAAGAGGGGTGCAGCTGACAACGAACAAGGGCCAAATGAGAAAGAAGCGAGCTCATTGTCAAATTCATAGTCAACCGGTTTGCGAGAGAGGGTGAGAAAAGCCGAGATGCATATAATATAGTTGCTGTATATATAAAAGTATATATGTATACGAGTATACATTTATTTACAGTTATGTATGCATAGGTGCCAGTCAATGCGGTCGTGTTAGAAATTAACTTTCCCAACGTGGCATTTAAATTCATCTGCCACAAGCACAAAAAGCCGCAAAAACTGCTCGCATGCACTCGCACACACACACACATATACCAACATATAGCAGCAAGATAATATTTAATGTCGTAATGCATCCGAAGTTGCTGTTGTTGGTAGGGTAGCAGGGGAGGAGTGGACGGTTGTTCTTTGAATTGTGGCATGTTTTGCTGCACCGTTGCGGTTTGACGCGGTCTCAAAGTATGTTGTTAACGTCCGGCGACATAACGGTACATGTGTTTAAATAACAACGCCACAAGCATTCGGAATATTTTGCCAAAAATACAAATATAAGTAACTTCACATGTGTGCGCTCAGTGCATAGGGTAGGTCCGAAAAATTGGTTGGTAGACGACTCTAAGAAACGCTCTCCAAGTATCAGCTCTTAATTACTACTATTATCTATTTTTTTCTTATGATCGGATAGAAAGAGCTCTACAAGCTGGTTTTTTTCTTTTGAATTTTATAACAAAACAAAACTTGGTATCACTAAAGATAGCAATAATACCAACGAGGTATCCGCATACTCTTTTAAACGAATTCAACTCGATAACTTTGTTGTTGCTTTTACAGAAAAGTGGTGAATCGAAGACTGCTTATAAATATTTTCAATTTAAAAATGCTCACTGTACTGCGCTGTGGGAGCGAATTAAAGAAGGTTGCCAAGCCCAGTCCATGTACACGATCATAGAATTACGGGCGTGTTTGATCTTTTAGCAAATAGCGGTATTGAACTTAAGAGATCAATTGTGGGAGAGTATAACACTCTCAGTTAAATTTTTGTCGCAAATTATTCGAAAAGACTTCCCATCTTATTTCTCAACGTGTTTTTAGTCAGCCACTTAATTATTTTTTTCATAAAATATGCCGGCATACACAAATGTTTTTAACAATTTGATAACAAATATAAAATAATATTTTTATGTCATATAAACAAAATATTATCAAAAAATACGTAAAGTTAAATTTCGGCACATTTAGAACGACCCTAACACTAAAATAAGTACACATACGTTTCACTTGTGCTAAGTAGCCATGAGTGTAATGCAAACATGACGCAACCAAGGGAATTGGCTCGAAAGATGACAGTCGAAATGGAACACCGAAAAAACCGCTACTTTGGAAACGGAAACTTACTTGGACAGTTGCTTTGGGAAAACCGGAAATTGTAATATAGGCGCGTTCCTTGCGCGTCAAATTGCCGCCATAGGTTGACAGGTAGGCGAAGACCAAACGGAACTGGAAATAAGAAAGAGAGCAAAGTTTAAATGGCATAAAGGTTAAAAACTTATTGCAATAAAATAATCGATAAAATATTGGAATTATTTTTCTTAAGAAGGCATGTGAGCCATGTTTAGCCGCCACACGGTAATTTCGGCAGCCGAAAAACGCATCAAATTGCTTGTTCGTTGTCGAAAAATTTAATGTGTGTACCCTTGTGGTCACAACAACAATAGCCAGTGCACGCTAAAGTCAACCAAAAACAACATATATATATGACAACAACTGCGAAGTGCACAGCAATGCCATCGGTTGGCGCGGCACACCACCAACACACTCTTGACCGACGCCACCGCATAGTGCAAATAAACCGCACCGCAAAATAAATTTGCAAACTGGCAAAAGTTGTTGCAAAACAGTCGAGTTTAATTACCAAACTTCCGAGCAGCACCAGCAGTGCACCGTAGCCGACGACACGGCCATCCAATACGGCAAAATTAATTTCTTTGCCGATAAGCGAGAAGGAGACAGGCTTCAGAAATTTCCACAATAGGTCAAGACGCGCCGGCACCGTCGCCTACAAGTAAATAAAGCACAAAAATAAAGAAAGAAAATTAATAAAGGTCGCAATAAAACAGAAAAAATATATTGTGAAAATACGCAAACAAGTTGCTAGTTGAAGTGGTGGGTGTGGTGAATTTAGCGTTAATTGATCGCGAAAATATTCATAAGTAAAATAAATGAAAAGTTTACGTTTTCCATTATTTACTTTTATGATTTGTAAATTCGCACCAAAAACTGTATGAATTAAGTTGTTACATAAGCACAGACATTTGTATGTGTGTGTGTGTGTGCATAATTTACAGTTTGTCCTAATACAACAGTCCAAGGAATTTTAATGAACGTGACTTCAGACAGCTGTCAGACAGTAACTGCTGTAATTATGGCGTAGAGCTGAAGGTGATGATATAATTTTGAAAAGCTAAGTAATAATTTGGTAGACTATGCACTACGCTACTAACTTTTAATTTCAGCACAGCTTATTAACAAGTTTATTTAATTTTGTATATAAAGTTCTCAAATTGTGGTTATGAGGCAATAAAAAATATACGAAAATATCATGAAAATATTTTTCTCCCAGCGCCATTAACATTTTAGATTTTACTGAAATTTTAATTTTGTTTGTCGAACATAATTCGGGTGGGATGAGAAGCAGACAAATGCATACAATTTTTAAACACCTAATGTTTGAACAGAACAAAACGAAACTAAATTTAAAAAAATCCTTTGATCTAATTTTATTGCCACTTTTACAAACATTACCGACCTTACCTCGTCTACAGCGCATGGAATCTTGTTCTCTAATACATATTCCACGTTTTCACGACAGTCGGGTCGACAGAACCGGAACAGAGATGGATTTATATTGCGGTCAAGGACTGTCAACTCAACTTAAAATTATATGAGGAATATTTTCTGCCGCTACAACAAAAACTTGACATCTAGAAGTTAATTACAATTAAAAGTTGGTTTCACAAGACAATCGATATTGAGACGGAAGCAAAATGCCATGCATAATTTAGCTAAAAAAATTCACTTTTGAACACAACATTGGCTCCATCTTTAAATTTAAAAGTCTGCGAACATGTTAGATCTTGGGTTTGCAAACAACAGACTGTAACTTTATTTGAATGTAGCCTGGAGGGTCTTTCAGGATTGTTCTAACGCAAATATACAAATTTTCTTTCTTTTATACACTTTTTGTCAACTCTCAATTAATAATTCTTCTTTCTAATCTGCCAATCAGCATTTTTTTTTTATCAACTTTGTTTTAAATATGCTCATATGGGATTTTTTCTATCATGCAACATGAAATTTTCCACAATTTTAAATGTTTACGCGGTTAACTTTTCAGAAGTAAGTTCATAGCGTAATCTGAGTATAACATGTCAAACACATGTACTTATTTTTATTATGCTTTGATCAAAACATTTTTTAAAAGCTTGGCTTTTTTCTAAAAGTGGATTTCGAAGCGGAATGTTGAATGAATTCCAAAGAATAAAAGAACTTTATTCCGATATGTTCTTCTGATTTAAACAATTGCTTCGGAGACCAATAAATTGCCATAAAAAAGCTTCACAATAAGATAAAAAAAAACAGTGGCGACGCCTTCTTTTCATTTTTCACAACTTTAAATTCTATATGATTATTTATTTTTACAGTGTACGAAACGTTATAAAACTGTATACAAAAATTGCAAAGGTGGGTTGTCGAAATCGGCCGGAATCTTTTCAAACCTAAGATACCGAATATATGGACCACAGTGCTTGTAGCTGATAGTTTACTGAAAATATGTGTAAATCTTTGAGATATACCATTACATATTATCTTTTCCTGATAGTAGTGCGCCTTGTGCTATGAAATGGTAAAATGGGATCAAATTTAAAGCTTTTCGAATTTTAGGTTGACTTTATATCAATAGCCAGTTTATTAAAACTCGCAAAGCTTTTCAATAATAGTGTATTGTCGTGCCTTGAATGAACAATATATGTCCCCTGCCTTAATTGTATATCACGAATAGTACGAAAACTATAAATAAGCCAGTAAATTAACTATACTAAAAATTTGATGTGATATGATAAAATTAGGTCTGATTGCGTCATCTATACTACTAAATTCGGTGGAAAAAATGCATAACCTAACCGTTGCTAGTTTTAGAAATTGCTATATGTATTATAACTGTGTGTGAAGAACATACTAGTTTAGATATACTATTTTTGTTGTACTTTGGCTGTTGTAAGCTTTAGAAAAATCAATAACTATAATTTTACTTTTGTAGTAGGGCTAAGAATATGATGGGCATAAGTCCTATCTTATTCGAATTTAAGTCATTAAATTCATAAATACAAAATAAAACTCAAGCATGCAGCACTCTGCCACTGCTATAACGAATGAATTTCATTCAACGACTGCAGCCAGTTTTCAAGGCAGCTAACAAAGTTAATCGACCACTTAATATTAGCTATTCGATACGCTTGTGTTGTTCAGTCCAACTGAAGAGCTAGTCGTTTTTCAGCTTTGACATAGAAAACATGTTGTTGTTGCTTTTTATTTCACTATCTTTTTTGTAGCACGCTGTTTTTCATCGACAGCCAACATCAAATTTTTTCCGCTGAGAGTGTGTCACTAAGCCAAAACTAGAGTGCAGAAACGAAAAACCAAACAAAATATTTGCATTTCCTCACAATTAAAAGTGTTGACCATTTTCCGTTTGTTTCCATTTCCGTTCGTTGTTTACCACTCTACAATCTAGGCTGCACTGCCTAACTGCCAACCGAACAAACTGGCTAACTGGTGATTTAGAAGCGTACTTGGATAGACTCTCACCAACGCACACCGCCTCCTGCTGTTTTGCTCACACTGTGTTTGGATTTGTCTCAACGTCGTTGGTGTCACCGGCACTTTGCCTGGTTGCCACTTGCACTTCCGTTAAGTGTCTAATGAATGGCATGAAACACACACTTGGCCTTTAAAAGACCCAACAACATTGACACAACAAAAAACGAAACAACAATAATAGCAACACACACATGCAATGTAACAACAGTTGTTTAATAAAAAATGCAGTCAGCCAACCCAAGTGGGTTTAGTTGTGATCCGAGCCGGGTGCTGAGACAAACAAATATGGAGTATGGTTGGCAATGAGCAGCCACTTTGGAGGCTCTAAAAGTCTGCTGAGTAAAAAATTAGAAACAACCATACAACTTGAGTATGAAAACAACACACTAGCATCATTTCATTTACATTGCTTTTGATATATATTTTTTCTTTGTGTTTCCAACACCTCTTTCGCCTTGACAGTGCCAGCAGCCCAGCAAGGAGTGCTCCAAGTAAAAATGTTAAAACCTTCTACAATCTCAGTATGCAAAGCGTAAGGATACGACTGCCAGCTTTTGTTTATGCGTATCTCTGACTGCTTCTGTCTGCCGGGTCGTATGAGCAATGCAGTTGAACTCTGTTTTTTTTTCGACGCACTCGTACGTACTTGGCTGTTGTGAGAAATGCCAAAGCAATGAGAAAACAAATCAACTGTCATAAGCTTCATTGCTTTGCAAAGTATCAACAAAATGTAATAGCATGCAACGGCACAGACACATACTTATATACAAACATACATGCGGATGGTGTATATGGTAGGTGTTGACTGTCTTGCATGGCTGGCAGTTGTAGGGCTGCCTTATCGTGAAGCTGTCAGTCAGCACGATTATATCATATTGCTTGATAACAGGTTTTTATAAACAATATTATTGGCTGTGTGTATGTGTAGTATATTTTTTCACATTTCTTTATGTGAATTTTCTGCAAAAAATCTGTACGTCAAATGTTGCGTATACGCCGTGTCTGATTTAATATGTGGGTGTATGGGAAACATATCTGTTGCTGGTGACTTTATTTTTTGCTAACTTGTTTTCACTGAATTTTAACTAATATGAAGTACAACAAAAAATTAAAAGAACTTATGAAGTAGGCCGTAAAGTACAGAGATGTGAAAGCGCAAGATTTTTTAAAAGTTTTAATATATGTTATATAAACATAACCTATGCGCTTTTATTTCCCCTTTGTATTATTCGTTAAATTTTTTTATAGATTAATTATTAAAAATTTTTCAATGCAAAAGTAAATTTTGTGTTTTTGGGAAGCTTAATACACCTTATTTAGGGTAATAATTTGGTAACTTGTAGCAATCCTCATTAAAAATTTTTTAGATGCGTAGGTATATACATAAAGGGCTTATGAAACACCGAACTCTTCTACAAATATCTTCAATTTTTTTTAGATTTTTGGATTTTATTTTATTATTATCTTCGTAGAAAAAATCGAGCAGCTACCTTAAGTGTAATACATATCACATCAAAAAAGGTAATTTTAGTTATAATTATTGTGAAGAACTCCACTAAAATGACCCACAAGCAATTTTTCTTAATATGGCAACACATTTACCGGAACTTATTTTCCTTTTAAGTCTCAAAAAAATTATTATCGAAAATTTTCAAAAAAATAAAAATCTCAAACACATAAAACACTAAGCCACTAGTCACACTCAATTTTCCAGCGAACTACATTTCTAGGTTAATGTAAAATCCGCACACTTCCAATACCCGGCAAAGCTGAAAGTATGCTTGTGAGCACCAAATACGAGTGTATCTGAGAGACAAATCACTTTGACATACGGAAAAAATTCATTTGACAGACCAAAAGCGAGCAAAAAATATTTAACTTCTTGGAAAAGCAAATTTACCAAACCAACTTGCAAACATGCATGTGTGTGTGAGCGCATATGCATAAAGCCAACATGTCAAATGCCAAAGACTAGCTTTTGCAACTGCAGCACAGCCAGTTGTCATTTCAAAAAATACCGTTTCCAAATGGACGCCCACGTTGCATGCTGCACATACACACACCCACATATACACACTAAATACGAATGCGCTCAGCAAAAGTATACAAATAGAGACTTTGTAAGGAAATCAGTGTTTCGTCCGAAAAACATTTCACTTAGCTTAACCGAAAGCCAATTTGAATGGAAAGATTTGTGTGACCTTATGCCTACAATTGTACCTCCAACGGAAGTGATATTTTTTTTTTTTTGTATTTTCTTTATGCTTCGAATGAGCTCATATGCAAATGAACCCACACGTTGGAGTCTTAACAGAGTTGGTAGTGCTGAAAAAAAAAAATATAAAACAACAACAACTTACATTTTCATTCTCCAACTGACGTTGACGTTGCTGCGCCGTGAGCTGCCGCTGCTGACGTTTCCAACCGATGCCCGCAAAAAATGCGATCGTCATGCAGCCAAGCGCCCCAGCTGAGGGATAACCGATGGCTCGACTGCCCATCACCGCTATGGTGCCGCCCAAGATGGTCAAAACAAAACGCAATCCGTTTAGGTATTGCTAAAATATGGGGAAAAAGGAAAAGCGTATCAGTTTAAATTTAAGCATACAAAAAAAAGTATAGAGTAGCATACCTAAAAACTACGACTTTTACGGTAAATTTAAGAGTTCGTAGTTCAAACATTTTTTTGAATATAAGTGGGATAATTTTTTTAATTTCTTACCAATAAAAACTATATACAATATATTGCAACTGGTATCAAGACTTACGGTGAATTTTGTATCATACATTTACCATATAGTTCTAGAAAGTGAAGTACCATATAGTATATAATTACCTATCATACATATATCCAGCATTTAAATAAAATTATAGGTCCAAATTGAAACAAGTACAACAAAACATTACTAGGTGGCGCCACAATCGCCTGGTGCTAAAGACCGTTCGATACGTGCGGTGGTAGACATTCACGTGAATTTTATTCAGATAAACTACTTTGTATTGCATTGCGTACACGACTTATTCGGTAAACACGACTCGAAACCTAAAAGTAGTACGGTGGACATTTTAAAAATAGGCCCCAAAACTAAAACTAAATAAAATCGGTATCGAAGTGTGTTAAAAAAAAACCAGAAATTTTTGATTTTTGAAAAAAAGTATATTTTTTGTCTAAATGTCACGAAAAAGCAAAGCAAAAAGTGAGGTTTTAGCGATCGCAAAACGCCAAGCTGTTAAAAACACATCGATATACAAACTGATACCTGATTTGAAATATCATAGTTTACCTTACGCGAAACAGTTGTAGGCCTTTTGGCTTTCAGAGCCCTATAAAAGGTTATTACTTTATTTATATATTCTGGCTGTGAATGTTCACCAAGTTTTTCTCGTGCTTGTTTAAGAAGATATTTTGAAATAGTTTCTTGTTTGTTAGATTGTGGTCTAGTTATTGAATACTAATGAATAAGTTTTGGATAAATCGTGGTTTAATTTTTAATTTCGACGACTAGAGAAACGCTTAAATATTTATCGGCTTGAGAACAGTTTATAGTACTTCAATAACATTACATTAGGGAATTTATATTGAAATTCTGAACTTTCTCATAAATAATTAACGATGTTATATTTCACTTTAATAGTATAATAAGCAGCTTTAAAGAAGAAGCCGAAAAAACCAAAAGCTCAAAAGTCAAGAAAATTACGTCGGAAAAAAAGCCAGCCAGAAACCTATGCATAAATTTGTATACGTCGACTAATGCTTCACATTTTTAAATGTCTCTCTCAGAGTCCACATGCATTGCGTGGCATGAAAGCTGGTATATTTCATTGCTGCTGCAGTATATCGGATCATACAGATATACAAACAGAAGAGAGTGAACTTAATTTCACTGCCCTAAAAAGATTCACGCTCATTATGCATGTCCTTGGACGCATTATATTTCTCATCATATTACTTAATTTCCTATTATCCTTTCTATAGCCTGCGTAAGGATACATTCTTATTAACGACCCACTCGCTTTCACTCGCTCTCTTTGTAAATGTGTGGAAAGAGTAAGCAAAGAAAGAGTGAGCGCCGTCCATATCAAAAGGCGGTGATCGCTTTCCACATGCTATAACATCCTGAAGCTGCAAGGACAACGTATTACTGCGTTGAATACGTTAAAGTTACAACCTTTCATTATAATAAAAATCACTGGCAATACTGCATACTAACTTGGCGCTATTGCAGTATGACAAAGAATTGCCGAAAAAAGCTTACTTGTAAAAGCACAAAAAAAAAGCAAGAAGCTTTCTCGTTGCGCTGCAATTGTCGCGGTGTCTGACGAGCGTGCATATGTAATGCTCTTAGTGTATGGAAATTTATGCTCATAACTTCACAGATTGATACTTTTTTTCCGTGTTTGGACGAAGCACTTTGTAGTTTTGTGTGAAAGCTTCGCTGTTGTGCAGATTTTTATGTTTCTCCTACAGGGTGGCTTACAAGGATAGTATGTGAGAACCAGGAATGATTCAGGCTGAGCAATAGACTGTCAACTACAAATAGGTGGCCGAATTGATAAGTTCATTTTCTGAATCTTTCTCTTAATCCTTTAGACTTTCGACAAATATGGAGCTCCACAAATTTTTAACTACTTCCGAATGACTGAGAGACTACTTTTATCTCAGTACTCCTCATATACACATAATAAAAAACACATAGAGGTTGTTTTTATACTGTTGGAGTTGGGTGAGAGACCAACTATGTAGGCCATGTGGCCTTTCCATATCGAAAACTAAAACTCAGTCCTCGAAGCGAATTATCAAGTGATAGTGGAAATCCAAAGAGCATTCCTAAACACTTCGGACACAGAGAGAAAATTCGGAGGTCGGATTTCTGTGCGTCAATGACAAGATTCGAAAGCATTCCCCAAAATAATTTTGTGATATACTTTACGTTGCTACAAAAACATCAATATTTAGATGAGTTGGTTAACCAGTTGGGATGAAATAGTCTTTAGTAGCGGTGCAAGCTTTAAAAGAATTTCATTTTGTGAAATGAGATGCCTCATATTTACAGTTGATACACACGGTTTTCATATTGAATATTTTACCCATATAGATTCCAAAAGAATTCATTCTTGTATTGCTCGTAACGACCATTCCCTAAATAAGTCGTATATCGGCAAACCTTAAAATTTCCGATTTCTAATTGCTTCCAATGGTTGCCCTGGCATTGAGTCAATACGAAATAAACCCAAAAATATTCCAATTGCTGGAAAAGGTAAAGGTTATGTTATCAGTTCCAGCTTAAGCGTCACCACTACCCCAAATGCGTATGATTTCAGCTAGTCAGTTGACCCTGTACTGGCTCAGGCTCAGGCTCATACACTCGCACACATGCTTCCAACTTGCGACAGCCCAACCAGCAGAGCATTGTGGGCGTAGCAGCAGCTGCAGCAATAAATGTGCTGCCGAAATCGGTGTTAGTGCCAAACGACTCGAGTGTAAAAACGGAACCCCCGCTGTGAGGCATAAAGAAATAATAAGACTGGTGATGATGATGGCGCTGCTCGAGTGCGAGTGCCGTGGCAAGGTTTGATTATGTGCGCCATTAACGGTGCAACTTGCAGCAAATGTGTTGGCAGACCAACGCACACATTTATGCGCATATTTGTGAGTAGGTATATGTGTGTGTAAAAACCGGAAAATAGATATGTGATGCACTTGATATGTGACGTTTCGGTAGTGATATGGGGTTTGTGCGGCAACAACGTAACTGCAGCGCCATTGTTACTGTTGCTACAACTGGGCTCTTACGTCAGACTTTGTTACAGCGAAATTGTGGCGACGAAGATTACAATGGCGGCAGCAGCAGTAGCGGCAGTTCCTTTGCATTGCGCTTTATGAACGATAAAACGCAGTAGTTTCGAGATACAACGGTGACCTCGCCATGCATGCATACGTGCATCTCTATGTGCGTGTTTTGTGGGTGTGTGTGTGTATGTAAAATTAATGGCATTAGTTTTAAACTGCTTTTGTTGCAAGTGTGAGTGCGCTTGTAAGTGCATGCGATGGCGCGCCGAGAAGTATGCTGAAATATTTCAAAATAATCTTTGCACTCAATCTTTGTTACTCAATTCGCTGCTCACCAATGTTTAAGCGGAAAAAATTAAACAGTTTTATGCCCGCATATAAGTGCCATAGTGCGTAACGGTACATTTTAATATTGTAATATTTAAAATTAAAAATGTTTCAGAAACTCACTTACCGTCTTTGTTGAGGGCAAAATGGTCAGCATTAATCCATAAACATAGCCAAATACAATGCCAATACCAATGCCGATAGGTCCCTGCAGTATTTGCTCTATCAACGATTTATCTACATATGAATAGAAAATTAAATAGAGTATATTAAAGGCAATTTTACACTCGGCAACTGGGCAAACTACTTTGTAAGCGGCATAATTAATACCCGCCATTTACTAACCCGTGGAAAAGATGACGCTCATAAAGACGCCAAAGAGAAAAATCGCAACGACGTCATTGCAGCTGGTCATGGCGTATATTAATGTGTGTATGCCGCTGTTCAAGCCCAGCCGTTCCTCCTTCAGTTTCAGCATAACGGTCACGACCACGTTCGGAGAGACTGCGGTGATGACAAGGCTGCCAGAGTGAGGATTAAAAGAAAAATATTCCATGTTATTTTATGTCATTAATGAGCGCGCAATTTATATAAGTTTGCGAAGCGTTTAATGTGTTTTAGACCTCGCGCGGAAAACGTTTTGCTGTGGAGCTAGGTATGGAGTTTTTTGAAATTGAAGCGAGATAAGTTTAATAAATAAATATAATAAATAAACTAAATTTTAAGGATTAATTGATGTCATTATATATTTAAATTGTAAAGAAATTACATGAGCAAACAATATGAATAAGTTAAGAAACATTTATTTAGTCTTAAGAGCTTGTATCCCCTTTTGAAATTCAAAAAATCGATTCAGTAATATCGAATATAGGTATATATGTGTATTTGAAAATATTCTTCGAAAATTTTAAGTTGATCCAGTTAGTTCTTTGGTAGATATGAGTGTAGTTGTAAGACTTACTGTAATCGACTCCAAAAATTTTGAACACGTTTTTCCCGAAATTTTTTTTCAGCGTCGGTGAGAATATTTTTACCCGAAACGGCTGGATTAATATACCCTTTCAGGTTAACTTACTTATACACTCATTTCTCATACAAAATAATTACTTTATACCCACTTCTCAGTCCTAATTTATAAGAATATTATCTGTAGAACACTAATTAGCGACATCTATCTGTGATTTACCAAGAGCTAAGTAAAAATAATGTTAGTATTCGGAATTTTTAAAAATAGTTATAATAAATATAAAAAATTATATAATATACAAAGCACAAAAGCTCTCCGTAAAGCTTTGGTTGAACTAACAGTTTCAACGATCATAAGACAACTTTGTATAAAATGCTTCGTACGTTCTAAGATGATTTTAAACATTTAACCAAGCGTTTCATTTACTTCTTTAACCCCCCCTTCCGAAAAATATGTTTTCTGAAGATCTGAGGAAAGTAGGTCTCAGTGGCGGCCATAACCTCTTCATTACACCGAAATTTCCAAGGCGAGTGATCATCACATTTCCGGTGGATAGCATAGTTTTCTTCTTCTTTAGAGCAGATTCGCCACAGGTCTGACTCACACGGTCTTTTGTTATGTCTACTGTCTCAGCTATCTCGCGGTCTTCGAGATAATTGAGAGAGGACACTTTCTATCCAGACGCTGTCAGAACAAAGCTGGAAGTCCGATTCGGTTCAAACTTTACTGGCAGCCTCTACGAGAGCGTAAATTTTTATTGTGATACTGGCGCTATCGGGCGGTGAGGCCAAGTACTTATCATATCGCTCTTGAGTATGCTTATAAATCCGACTGGCTTAGCAACAAATACTATTCTACTAATTAATTTGAACAATTTATAGCCTCTCTGGCTGTCAACTAATTTATTCAACTATCCTCTACTAACTTGGAGCTTGGTCAGGATCACTTGGTTCATTAAAGTTTCGTTTACAATTTCGGCTATGCTGAAGCCATATATTCAACTAGGACTGCCTCAGTTTTTTTCTGTGAAGATGCAAATAACTCAACTAAAGGAGTTAAATGTATAAAATATGAAGTCTCCAACTAGTGTTTTATTTAAGCATAGAATACATAAACTGTAAGGATTCTGGGAAAATAAAACTTTTTGTACACTCACCCTAAAAGTATACCCCAAAACCATGGCATATCCAAAGTAAATCTAGCGATCACTGTAATAATTGTCACCTCAGCAATCGTTGGCACGAGTGTGAGCCGCAAGATCATAAGCCACAGCTTCTTGAAGGCGCTCGCGTCAAGGCCCAAGCCGGCTAAGAGCATAATATTTATTAGCGCCATCTCTCTGCAAGACATAAGAATACGAATAAATGATTGAGTACACAAGCATTACTTAATCTCACCTCAAAAATGCTTCAAATTTATCGTAACCCGTGAAATCAGCCAAACCCACATTGGTGTAGATCACACCGAAAAACAGCATGCCCAGCATGTCCGGCAGGCGGAGAAAGGTCACCAGCACACCAGACAATTGTGCGCCCACGAACAGGAAGAATATACGCATGATCGGCGTATTTGGCAGCGTATAATCGGGCAGCAGAACATAAGCGATCATCCATAGAACGATGGCGATGGCCACCAGAGCCAGCGGTTGCGAGATGAAGGGCCAGTGTTGAACGATAATACGCCAGCTGTGTGCGGGAAAAATCGAATTTAATTCAAAATTAAAACAAAAATTTAATTAATTATAAAAGCATAAATAACCACAAATAATTTTTACATTTTTTTTTAATTGGAAATTATGAGCGCACATTTTTCGGTATTGACACCGAAACAGGGTCGCCTCGGTGCACGCGTGTTAAACAATGTTTAACCGCTGAGTTAAAGAGCCGTATTTAATACTGAAAACACTGAAATCCTGTTATATTTTCCAACTCTCTATACTCTACGAGATAATTATGTATACGTGTGTTGTATTTGTTGTTGACGAAAATTCATTTCATTAAATATGCAGTTGTTATTATCCAGCTAATTGTATGAAATTGCCGTTCGTTTACATTTTAAAAAGCAGTCACGCCAATATCCCCTCCCCCTTCCCTCCCCACTTAAAGCACAAAAGCGTGAAGGGTTGCGTAGCCACACACACCTCTTGTTCTATATACTCGTGTGTCTTCTATAAACAAATATTAATTTTCATATGTGATGGCTCGGCACAAACACTGCCATGCCTGGCGCATTTCATTAAAAGAGAAAATTATGTTAATTGTCAATTAAAAAGTTAATGACTTTAATTGGATTTTCAGGATTTTAAATTTTTTTATATATAATGCAATATGCTTGGCTTGAGTTTTCCAGCATATTTTGAATTACTTTTTGTCAGCTGTAAATGTTGTGATTCATAGCGAATTTAAAAGTTTGTTATCATAAACGAGATTTCCTTTTGATGAGATTTGGCTTCAGTCAAAAGAATTGAGCTACAATTAAATGGGTGGGCATTTGTGAGGCGGCTTAAAGTTATAAGAGTTTAGCGAGAAGCAGAAATTTAAATAATATTTCAGTAGCTGCTTGAAAACTTCTACACTGTGTTACTAGAGACAGGGAAATACTTTTACTACTTACTTTTTGATTGTAAATAGAGCAAAATGTTTATCTACTAATTCCACATGCGATCCTACACAGCTTTCTCTTCCACATTTTTGCAGGCTCACTGAAAAGTTCGTAAGTTTCAGAGTAAAACACATTTCTTGCTTTCGATATATCGACAAACGCGATCTCCAAATTTTCAAGACCATTTCTATAAAGATTGTTTTTTTAAATATATGGTTCTCAAGAATAAATAAAAAGCATATAATTTAGTGTTATGACCAAGAGCTTAGCTTAATTATAACGATAAGAGTTTGCCATTTTTTTTTTAAATGATTTCGGGCTAACGCTGCAGCTGGCTCGAATAAGTTTCAGCCGATAGGCTCAATTTTCTATCACTTTTGACAGCAATAATGTGCCGAATGTTCTCTTTCCAAGCATCAATCGTCTCGGGCTTACCTACGTAAATCCACAGAAAAAAAGTCTATTCCAGCCCTATATTGTTAAATCGCACGAACTTGGAGGTCTTGTTGGAATCAAAGGTCGACCACGTAAACACCATCAAATTCAGGCACTAAAAAGTCATTAATCATGGCTCTATAGCGTTCCCTATCAACTATAAAATATGTCCGGCTTCATTTTGTAAGAAATATGGACCAGCGATTCTCTCTGCCATTGAGCACAAGAAACAGTGCCTTTTTTATGTCGTCTCAATAACGGCTTGTGATATATAATCACTCCAAATGCGGCAATTTAGTTTGTGTACGTTAATAATTTAACCAAAATGGGCTTTATTGCTGAACCAAATTTTCTTGTCAAAATCGTGATCGGTGGCCATCTTGTTGTTGGCCCATTCACAGAACGAGAGACGCACGAGTTGGATTTTGTAAGCCCACAAAACCAAGATCCTTGCGAATTATCTTCCATAAAGTGGATGGGCACAGTTCCAATTGTTGCGCGCGATGACTGATGGACTTATTCGGGACTTCTTCGATACTCTGCATCTCAGCAGCAATAGCGTCTTCGATGCGCACTGTTCGCCGTTTCTGAGCATGCGAATTATTTACTAGAGCACACGTGGTGCGAAACGGATCCCTGGTTGGTCGACTTTCCTTAGGCCTTAGTGTCATCGATTATTTCTTAATTGTCATGACTTATATTTCCAGGGAGAATTTTGCTGAGGTCTGCGGACAGGAAAAGGGAAAACTGGAAACCAAATCGATAGTTCCGCATTCCTAATTCAAAGCCATGTTATTTAGTTTATCATCGCTTCCATTGATTTGTGGCTTGTTGCACTGTTGTGATACATTTTTGAAAAGGCAATGGGGGTATTCACACCAGCTTTGTTAATTCGTTAGTTGTTATTCCGTAAATTTTTACTTGCATTTTGTTTTTGTTAAATTAACAGAGTATCGTTCTACCGGGTAACGAAGTACCAGTGTGACAAGCTTAATAATTTTTTCGTTACTTGGTAACATTAAACCAGGCTGTTTGTTTTGCGATTTTTTGTTTTAAATACTGAGCTAGAGTTAAAAGTATGTGCACAGTAAAGTGTTTTAACGAAGTATGAACTAGCGAATTACCAGATTAACATGTTGGATCTGAATACCCCTAAAACTTCCTTCATCAAAAGGGACTTATTTTCCGGAATTTGCCTTGGAAAGTTTCGATAACTCTCCTTTCAAGATAGTCGATTAAAGTTTTCATGTTTATCCCGAAATTGAGACGTCAAATTTGATCAGCTGACTGTTGTTTGTTTCGTTTTGAATCCGGATCTTGATTGTGTGTGCAATTAATTTACTCTCGATTGAAATAAGGAGTGGAATTGAGTAGCCACGTTATATCCGTTATTACATATCATTGAAAAAATTAAAATTTATAAGCACGGATCAGACCCAAACAGTGCTCAAAATCATCAATTTATTACTGCTTTGGGTCAATTAAGCGCTTTTGCACACCCAAATATTAATGAAGGATATATTCAACTTCCTCTTTGTTCTATGAATTCTATCTTGCTACTTTATTTAGGGTTTTAGAAAAACCTTTTCTGGGTTTTCATCCGAAACATCGTTCATCGTCTTCGATACTCAAATCAACCACTGGCTGATGATGGGTTCTCTAATTTATATTTCTAACTCAGAGAAAACTTCTCAATTTTTTTGCTACCAACAGCAGAGATAGCTTTTATTACTAACTAATGGAAAACGTTTCAAAACTCTTTTCCAGGAAATATCTTTCTGATCTAAACTAGCAAACTTAATCTCTTCTCTGCTTTATGCAATCTATAATATAGGTATATGCAGTGAGGTCGATTCTATTACGATACTTTGTGAAAGCACAAACCATGAGATCTCTAAATAATGTTAGAGTCTTCGTGTTGTTACAATATTTTTCAATCCATCAGCCATATACCACAATGCCAACGCCTACAACTATGGCAATAAGGTATTTGTGGCGCTTTGGCAGACATATGAGATACTGCTACACTAGTATGGGATTATGCATATAACTCCCTAGTTCGTTAGAAATGCATCTCTGATTCGGAAGACAATTAGTATTTCTTAATCTAATAAAATGGAGATAGTGAAATGAGTTATCTCTAATTTCTATTGCTGATGTCAATAAATTCTAGAATAGATAAACTTCAATATTTTCCAGAAAACATAACGGGAATGAATTAACATTAATCAAGTGTGATCAATGGACTCTATAGAGTTTTAGAATATATTGCCTGCCTTATGAACTCAGCTGATGAAAATAGTTACCGATTTGTTAAAACTTATCTGCTCATAATTCGAAGAACAGAGTTTAGGGTCTACCCAAAGACCTTGGTGCCAGATATTTTCCCAGTCAATTATCGGCGATTTTTAAATCACTACTAGAAATATTTTTTATGGTCTGAATAAGGGTTATCTTGTGTATTAATGAGAACTCTACCAGACATGTACAACTTAACGAAAAGGAAAACTTACACTCAGCTTTTAAAAACTATCCAATGAAATACAATTATGTTAAATAAAGCGTTAATATTTTAAGGCCTCCCATTAATCGAATCGTGCTAGCACTGAGACACACCGCGACCAAAAGAAGGGTGCAATTCTAAGAAAATTATGTCAACGCCGAAATGTTGTTATTGTATTATTATAATTGTTAAGATAAATGGTGTCATAAAACCGTTTACGTGCACGTTATATCAATAACAAACAATTAACAGTCAAAATTCGAAAATATTAATTTATAATTAAAAAATAGACCAGAAATTTGAGCAATGGCCCTCATACCCAAGCAAGATTTTGCCTTATACGCTTAGGCTTATCTCAACAATATATAGCTATAAATTAGCTTGTAGCATAGACGTGCAACACATTTTAAAACTGGAATTGAGAATGACACCAACGGCCACAGCGCAGCGAGAACGCATAGGTGTAGCGCGTGTGCTAATGCGCCTGCTGCAGATCCTTGGACTTTGGCCAATATGGAAAGAAAGCCACCAAAAAAATGGCAGTTCAACACAATGCCGCAATTGGCTGACGCACTACTACCGCTACCTGCTGCACGTGCCGCTCACCTTCACCTACAATACGCTCATGTGGATCGAGGCGCTGACGCGCTGGGAACGCGCCGATCACATACTCTACATCTCCATCACCGAAGTGGGTATGATGGCGTTGACGCTAAACTTCTGGCGCTTAGAGCAGCGCGCTTACCACTTTATGCACGAGCTCAGCTACAGCGACAACTTGGCTTTGCGCAACCAGGCGGAACGTCAGTGGTGGCGCGGAGAGCAGCGCTTTTTTGCGCGCATTGCCGTGTGCTATATAGGCGGCGGCGTGTGTGTGCTCTTCACAGCATTCGGCGCAACACTGCTCGTGAATGGCTACTCCTTGCCCTACGACTATTGGCTACCATTCGAATGGCATAACGCGCAAAATTATTGGTACGCCTACGGCTATGAGTTGATAGCGATGTCACTCACGTGCATCTCAAACGTCACCATGGATATGCTGCTGTGTTATTACCTCTTTCACGTGGCGCTTTTATACAAGTTAATTGGCATGCGTCTAATGGCGTTGCAGCATCTAAGCGAAAGGTTGGCCGTGCAACAGCTGATAAACATAATCGAGTTACATAAAAGAGTCAAAAGGTAAGAAAGACTGACGTAAGCTTTTAAGCGCGCTCTTTATTAGAAGCGCCCGTGTGTTACGTCAGCAGCTCTAATACTGTGTAAAATTCAGGTTGACAACGCAATGTGAGGTGCTCGTGTCCGTGCCCATTCTGGTGCAAATCGTGCTGAGCGCCTTCATTTTATGCCTTTGTGCCTATCGCTTACAAACTGTAAGTAAAAGTGCATTCCCCTTATATGTGTATGTGTGTGTCTCTATATGTGTGATTTCATGCGCACTCGTTGCACATATCAAAATACAATAAGTGCACAGTGCATGGCTATGTAATTCGACCTCGATGTCGTGCTTTTTTGCTTTGCTTTTACCTCACTTCGCTTTGAGATGCCTTGCAGATGCAAATTAGCGAGAATCCAGGCCAATTTTTAGCCATGTTGCAATTTGCCAGCGTGCTGACGTTGCAAATATTTCTGCCATGTTACTTTGGCAATGAGATTACCATAAATTCGGATGCGCTGACAACGTGTGTGTACAACAGTAATTGGGAGGAATTTTCACCGCCTACGCGTAAGCTAATGAATCTGTATATGGAGCTGCTGAAGCGACCGGCGCAAATAAAAGCTGGCAACTTCTTCTTGGTGGGCCTGCCCGTTTTCACAAAGGTGGTTATATATCTTTTTACACAATCTATTATATAACTAGTAACTGTTTTTTATACTATTCATTATTTCTTAATAGACCATGAATAATGCTTACAGCCTTCTAGCGCTACTTTTGAATATGAGTAAATAAGTGTTGAGACGGATGATGATATTGGCTTACGGCACTCAGCGGGTTCCACTATATCGTAATCCAGTAATTTTTTATTATATAAATGAAAGGGCTAATTAAAATTATTTTCAGAGCATGAGAGTATTCCAAATAAAGCTGATTCATAGCTAAAAGCCTGTGCAGTATGAGAGTGAACCATATTCAAAAATTTACTCATTCTATCATAAAATACACTTCAATAAAGCTCTTAACAAACAAATTGGTAATGAGTATTTATTAGATCAACAAACTGCGTATTTGTGAAAATAAACAAATCATTTAAAATTCGTTTAACAAAATTTCAATTTACTTATTAAATTCCACAATGTTTATGCAGTATAACCAATTTACTGTTATTATATACAATTATGTGGCAACCAATTAAATTAAATTAATAACAGCAATTACTGTTCGCACATACACACACACTTAAATGCCTTTCCTATACGCAAGTACTTGCCAGTATATTAGTTGTTAAGTAATTCTCTAGTCACTGGAAGCGAGATTCCACTACGAAGGTGCTGAACTGTTATAGATACAGAAATACATTAGGTATTCTAATTATGTGAAGGTAAATGCTGAAAATTTCAGCCGCTATGAGCCGGTAATGTAGCGTCGCGATAAAAAGACATTAGTGACTATGCGAAAAGGACTTCTTGCTAATGACAAGTAGCTCCTAAAACGGGAAAAAACTTTACCCAAAGCTCTAATATGCTTCACAAATCAAACAGTTTTCCATACTTTCATACTCAGTTTCTATGGCGGCTATATACTATAGTTGTCCGTGTGAACAATTTCTTCGAAGAAAGTAGCGATGCCTTGGATAGTAATCTAGTCAAATTTTGTGAAAATGCCTTATCAAATAAAAAGTTTACTATACAAGAACTTAAGTTTGATCGGTCGGTTTGTATAGCAGCTATATGCTATATCAGACCGATCTGAATAATGCGTACGGAGATTAATTATTTCTTTTGTACAATATTCCACGCCGAATTTCGTGAAAAGATTTAGTCAAATAAAAACTTTTTTATACAAGAAATTTATTTTTTTAGGTCAGTTTGTAAGGCAGCTTTATGCTGTGGTCGTCTGATATCGTCTCACTTGTTAGGGAGGAAAAGATTCGTGTTAAATTTCAGAGCAAATCTTAAAAATTTAAAGACTAGTTCGCGTATATTCAGACATACGGACATGGCTAAATACTTATATTTATTTTATAGAGTCTCCGAGTTTCCGCCTGGGTGTTACAAACTTCGTGGCAAACTTAATATACACTCATCAGTGTATAAAAAAATAGTTTAATGGCTTTAAATATCAAACAGAAATTTATCAATATTTATAAAAAGAAATAATATACAAATAGCCGCAAAGTATCTAATCAAAACAGGAATTACCCACTTTTGTGTGCTATTCTCAATTTATAAAAGAAACACATAATCTCACTGATTTTTAGAAGCTTTTTATAACACTCATTTTGTTAAAGCATTTCCAAATGCAGGCTTTAATCTCTAATCAGGCCAAAAGTTCTAAAATTATGAATATTCTAACATTGAACGACAATTAGGATATGTTGTGGAACTAAGCACTAGCGAAAGTTCACATTCTTCTAAACCGGGCCCAATGCTCCCCGGGCCCGCAGTTCTCATGTGCGTCTAGTGCTCTGCAACAATTTTTTAGAAACTTTTTGGCCATCATCGGTCATCATAAATTAAATTTTGTTTTTTTTTTCAGAACAGCAACAATTTTTCTACTGGATGTTTTACCCGATAATTACAAAGTTATCATTTATGCATCCGAGTACATGTAAGATCAACCAAAAATATAATATATGTATATGTATATGGTAAACTGAACCAAGTTTTTTTTTCAAATAAATAAAATATATGGTAATATCAATATATTGATGGATCAGGGACACACTCTATCCTCCGCAAACTCCTCTTAGGGTCTGATTAACGGTATATGCCCCGATTTTATTTAAAAAAGATTTCTGCCAAAATCTGTTGTGATTTTTACTATCCGCGCGATTTTATGTGACACATACAGGCTCTCGTCTTAAATATAATAAGGATTCAAGTGCATGACCTCAGTTTATCACTTAATATTTACTGAATACCAGCATCTGAGCTCAGGTTATGGTATACCAAATTGATTTTTTACATATTTCTAAGCTTGAAATTCATTGTTATGCTGGATTCAGCACTATGTGTACTAGAAAACTAAGCACGAAATTTTGCTCTTTTCTTTCAAATACAGCCAACCCTTGCATATATCCACACAAGACTGTTGCCGAATCATTAACGAAACAACATTTTCATGCCTTGTTTTTATATAAAGCAAAGCTTCTTACTGTTTGCATCAAAACAAGAATGGTGGCTAAAAAGTGGTTGTCAAGCAGCCCGGCACCGTTGTCGCGAATCGCTGCAGCGCATTAAATTGTTATTGTGCTTAAAGCAATCGGTCTTTGGCAATGGACAAGAAACCACAGTCAGCTTGGAAATACGCGCCTGCCTTGCTTGCAAAAATTGCAACGCGCATACGGCTTAGTACTGCACACACTACTTACATTCATCTTCATTTTGCTAATGTCTACGGCAGTGTTTTTGTCGCGGGACTTCGAAGAGACCAGCAGTATATTACACATATTGCTAACCGAATTCGCCTTGATCGTAAAGATATTGCATATTTGGCGACAAGGCAGCACAGCCTGACGCTATATGGACGAATTGGCCAACGAATCCATGTACGCACTACCATCATGGCCTACACTTATATACTGTGCAGCGTCGCCGTCATTGTGATCGCTTGCAGCAGTGTCATAATGACACCAGCCGATGTCTATGTTTTGCCATTCAACATTTATGTGCCCTTCGAATGGCGTCATCCGTATAAGTACTGGTGTGCATGGACCTATTGCAGTACTGTCGTATTGCTGACATGCGTCTCAAATATTATGCTGGACATGATATTCTGCTACTTCATGTTCCATCTATCGCTGTTGTACAAATTGATTGGTTGGCGTTTGAGCGATTTGCGGCGACTGAAGAATACTGTGGGTGTTAAAGTAGACGAACCAGAAGTAATTTACCAATTGTCCGAGATCTTTCAAATGCATATGAATGTTAGGAGGTACGATACTTTATTAACCAAACAAGCTGCGAATATAGCAAAATAATTTTCTTTTATTGAGTATATTCCCAGATTGACGACTCAATGCGAGACTTTAATATCTATACCTGTTTTGACTCAAATTGTTCCCAGCGCTTTTATGCTGTGCTTTAGTGGCTATCGACTACAGCATGTAAGTTGCTTCCATCCACAAATTTTGTGTTTTCAAAGGAAATCTTTTTTCTCAGAATTTTGTCGACAGTTTCTTAATATCATAATAAAGAAATTAGGGTTATTAATTAAGAGAACCGGCAATATATTCGTTAAACACTCGATTTGATAGCCCTTCTAAATAACATCAAACAATTGCGTTCCAATTTTATGATAGTTGTGATCTTAATCTTTATCTCAAGACTAGAAAATTCGTGCCACAAAAATTGCCAAAACTACCAGTTTAATTTTTTGGTAGACCTCATTAAAATTCAGTCGCATTAAAATTTCTGACCTCATTAAATTAACAAATATTGAAGAAAATCAATTGTTTCAGCAAGTAATGAGTAACATATAAAAATTTCGGCTGAACATACTTAATTCATTCTGTTCTTCGGCTCATTATTTCACTTCTATATGTTTAGATGGACAAGATGTTATTTTGACGATGCAGTAACTAAGCGCTCAAATGCTTTGACAAACGACATCTTTAGCTCGGATCGGACGACATTTGATGTGCCAGCGCGCAAATTTATGATTTTATATATGGAACTTTTTAAACGGCCAGCAAATTTGAAATCTGCTAACTATTTCAAATTTCCTATGACCATTTCAAATAGCGCTTTATTGCATACAATAATGAAATAGTGAATTCAATCTGCTGGTGTGTTATAATTAATTTTTTTTAGCGAATATAATATTTATTCACAATCCTACAACGATTTTTAAAACTAAATATTCTAGCGCTATTGTCAACTTATGTAAAATCCTTCCTTCTTATACTAGCACTGTCAACATTACCAGCCCAGTGGTGAAATCGCTCCAAAATAGTAGCATTCCTAACCCACATTGAACTGATTTCTTTGACAAAATCAGAGTGGATCAGCAACCAGGTTTGCATAGTTTAATATGCGGTTTATGATTTTGTATAATAATAACTGTTTATATAAAATGTCCAACACTTGATCATATTAACAATCTAAATTAAAAACGTTCACATATAAATTATGTTTTATTTTTCAGACTATGAGCAACGCCTACAGCATTTTTACACTACTGCTTAATATGAATAATTAAATATAACAAATAAAAACAATTTCTTGGAAACAACAATATCTCGTTTTATATTTCTTTTTTTTTTTAGCCTCGAAGTAACAAAATTGGTTTGACAAAAATAACAAAGATTGTTAAACGACAAAATTCATTCTCTACATATATTTGGTGAGCTCCAGCTATACCATTTGACCAAATTTGATTCGTTCTGGGAACTGAAACGCTACACATTTTGTTTTTTACTTTTTGTTTCTAACTCATTTATGTTTGATCTCCCTACGTTAATTAGGATGAGTTCTCTTGCTGTTTGTCTACCAAGCGAAAAGTTTCTCTACTGATTTTTACCATAGAAAAGAATTAAACAACGAGTTTGCTTGAAATTTGGTGTTCCCACTGAATTGACGACTACGGAATCATTGAAAGTATTCTGTGAAGGTCGACAAGTCATCGAAGGCTTGGCTCAGGCGAGTCGTCCATCCAACTCTGTTAACGCCGATAGCATCAAAAAAGTTAAAGAAACAGTGTGTGAAAAACATTTTATTACAGATAGATAGTAGTGGACCTCAATATCTTCTGTAGATTGATACAATACATTTTGGATTCGTGAATTTTTCACCAAGATAATGCGCCCAAGATTGATTGGGATTGACTTCTTGACCAACCACAAAACGAGAGTCAGCCTTCGTAGAGGCCGGACTTGCTTCCCTGTTTTCGAAACTGAAAAATCAGTTTCTGAGAATGCGCCATGAGCCCATTGAAGCCATTAAAAGTTAGACCAAGATCAAATGACGAAATTCGTGAAGATACCTTGTCAAACAAAATCTCTCTTTACAAAAACTTAAATTTGATTAATCAGTTTGCAGTCCATATACATGCTATAGTGGTCCGATCTAAACAACGTGCTCGAAAATTGTAGCACTCGTTTAGATAATAATCTATGCCAAATTTCCTGAAGATAATTTGTCAAATAAGAAATGTTTCTATACAAGGCCTTGAGTTGAATCGATTCCAATAAATTTCAGATCGATATCTTTAAAACTGTGCGACTAGTGCACGTATATACAAAAAGACGGACATGACTAAATCGACTCAGCTCGTCTCGTTGATCATTTATACATAAATATATAGAGTCTCCGAAATTTCCTTCTGGGTATTTCAAATATCGTGGCAAACTTAATATACCCTGTTCAAGGTATAAAAAAGCGGTCAGCATGCCTTTTTGTTCTTCTTTGACGTAGTTTTTCGGATTCGCCCAATTTTTGTAGCACCTTTCTCAACACGACGATTTTCAAGCACTGTTTATTTTACTTTTTTAATGTTATCGCCATTAACAGAGATGGCTGGACGTCTCGCGTGAGCCAAGTCTTCGATGACTTCTCGTCCCTCACTGAATGCTTTGTGCCACTCAAATACTTGTGTTTGTGATAAAGTAGACTCCCTTAGTTAAATTTGCAATATTTTCAACGATTTCGTAGACATGAATCCATTGGAAACATAAAAATTCAAGCAAACTTGCTGTTAATTTATTTTTTTCATTATAAAAATTGAACGACAAAGACACTTTAATTAAAATATCGAAATCAAGAATGTCTACTTCAGAAAGTCTCTTAAAAAAGTATATACAATATATTAGTAGAACTAATACAAATAGGTAATGAGTATTTATTGGATCAACAAACTGCGTATTTGTGAAAATAAACAAATCATTTAAAATTCGTTTAACAAAATTTCAATTTACTTATTAAATCCAACAATGTTTATGCAGTATAACCAATTTACTGTTATTATATACAATTATGTGGCAACCAATTAAATTAAATTAATAACAGCAATCACTGTTCGCACACCCACACAAACAGGCACTTAAATGCATTTCATATACGGAAATACTGGCCACAATATTAGTTGTTAAGTAATTTTCTAGCCACTTGAAACAAGATTTCACAACAAAGGACTGAACAGTTCTTGACACGGAAATACATTAAGTATTCTAATTATGTGAAGGTAAATGATGCAAAATTGCAGGCCTTATGAGCAGATAAAGTAAAGCCGGATAAAAGGACATTGGTGGCAGAATTTGGTTAAATTTAGCAAGTGAAATTTATTTCATATTTTCTGCCGATACAACAAAAATATCATCTTCTATATAATATACCATACCTCAAATCGAAATATTCGAGACACACACAATCGCTATCAATAACAGTACAGTAGAGGTCACAAAAGACACCAGTTGATATGAGCCAGACCAAAATGACGACAGTTTTCGAATCCAAGATATGTATCACTATCATCAAGCTTTTATTTTATCTTTCTACGTGTTATATAAGCAAAGGTTTAAAATGATTGAAGTAACGATCATTCAAAGAGTCTCATCGTTCTATCTTCGAATTTTCGAAGAAGTCACATTAGCAATTGCTCTACTTTATTTTTAGCTTTTCAACTTCATATATTCAAATCTTTCTTAGTGGTAAGAATCAATAACAGTACCGCAGAGGGTACCTCGTCGAAGGTTCAGCAATCGAATGGTTTCGCTAGGTCGTTTCGAAGGGAGAGGGAAGGTGAAGTAATTACTTTTATGTGAATACTCGTTACTTCCTCATAAATTCCCATCAGTTCTGTTTTAACGTTATAGAACCAGATTTATCACGCCAAGGCGTTTAATCGGCAGTCTTACACTATTTAGATCAGTGAGATCTCAGGCGCAAATATGGATCTACCAAAAATCTGCTCCGTTCAGTCCGTTCGATCTTATGTTACACATACTAGATCTGAGCTCGTAATTCATTGTTTTGCTAAATTCAGCCAACTCAGCAAAACTATGCACTTTTCCATATATCCACACAAGACTGTTGCCGAGTCATCAAAGCACAAACATTTCGATACTTTATTTTACACAACCACCGCATATTTAAACCCTTTATGCTAAGTGTGCAAAATTATATAAAACAGCGGTCCTCACTGTTGCTCACAGCTGTTGTATTAAATTTTCCATCAGTCGTGTTAACTTCAAACAAAAATGGCGGTTAAGAAGTGGTCATCACGCAGCCCGTCTTCAATGTCGAGGATCGCTGCAACGCTGTTTATTGTTCATGTGCTCAAAGCAATCGGTCTTTGGCAATGGACAAGAGACTCACACCTACCATACTTCGAAAAATTGGAGCATGCATATCGCATAATACTGCACATACCGTTCACATTCATCTTCATAACGCTAATGTTTACGGCGGTGTTATTATCGCAGGACCTCGAGGAGATCAGCAGTGTACTTCATATATTGTTAACGGAACTCGCATTGGTCGTAAAGATATTGTATTTTTGGCGACAAGGTAACACAGCTTGGCGCTATATGGACGAACTGGCCAACGATCCCATGTACGCACTACGCCAACAGTCTGAGTGGACCAAGTGGCAGAGCGCCCAGCGTTCATTCGCCATTGTGGCCTACACTTATATACTGTGTAGCGTCGCCGCCGTCGTGTTTGCTTGCATCGGTGGCATAATGACACCAACTGATGTCTATGTCTTACCCGTTAACATTTATGTGCCCTTCGAATGGCATCATCCGCATAAGTACTGGTATGCATGGACCTACATCACTCTTGGCATATTGCTGACATGCGTCTCGAATATTATGCTGGACATGATATACTGCTACTTCATGTTCCATCTATCGCTGTTGTACAAATTGATTGGTTGGCGTTTGAGCGATTTGCGGCGACTAAAGAATACTGTGGGTGTTAAAGTAGACGAACCGGAAGTAATTGACCAATTGTCCGAGATCTTTCAAATGCATATGAATGTTAGGAGGTACGATACTTTATTAACCGAGCTAGTTTCGAATACATCAAAAAAATAATAATTTTATGGAGTATATTCCCAGATTGACGACTCAATGTGAGACATTAGTATCCGTGCCAATTTTGGGAGAAATTGTTTTCAGCGCCTTCATACTCTGCTTTAGTGGGTATCGGCTACAGCAAGTAAGTGTTTTTAACTTTAAAGGTTATGAAATCGGTATAGAAATAAGGTTATATATATCAGAAAGTATCGAAAGTATCGATTGAAAAGCTTAACAGTGTCTAATGTCCCATCGTTCTTCTATCCCACTCAGTAAGTTGTTTGATCACAGTCCTGTGTTCCTCTATAAACTAAATCTTGTTGGTAATTTTTGACGCAATAGAACAGAAATTCACAGCGAAATATAAACGCTTATTTTCCAAAGTAACTTGGCGAGTATGGGGTCGTGATAACAGTTGGGAGTACTCTTCAGTTTTCGCAGCCTGATGTTACGGATGGTAGGATCATAAGTGTCATATTTAGTTTAGGAAATTCGGATAGTGACCACGATCAACAGCTAGAATTCAAATAATTCTTTCGACTTTATATACATTATTACAAAAATAACTAGAGCTCTGTATATAAAGTTCGACTCAGCGCTAACTTCATGATTTTTGCTCCTTTGTTCATTACTGCTCTGCTATATATTTAGATGAACAACTTGGAAAATATTGGTATGCTTTTTAGTACAATTCAATTTGCCTCAGTGATGACCGTGCAAATCTTTTTGCCCTGTTACTTTGGCGATGCAGTAACTGAGCACTCAAATGCTTTGACAAACGACATTTTTAACTCGGATTGGACGACATTTGATATGCCGGCGCGCAAATTTATGATTTTATATATGGAACTTTTGAAACGGCCAGCATATTTGAAGTCTGGCAACTTTTTCAAAATCGGACTGCCTATTTTTGCTAAGGTGAGTAAGGATCATAACAAATATTGAACAAAATATGTGTAAGACCTTTTGGTTTATAATTATATCTGATGTCTAAACAATAGGTGTATGAAGAAAAATAAAAAGTTTAAGTCAATCAAAGTTTAAGATGCGTTTACGAAGAGCTCAATAATATATTAAATAATTTGTTCTCAACATTGTTAGCATTTAAAACAAATACTTTATCTAATGTTCTTAGGATCTTATAATAGATAGGCGGTAATAGCAGTCGAATACAACGCAATTAAACTATATTTATATTAGAAAATTATTATTTTTTAATCAGATCTTAATTGATTCTCAAAATAAAGACCTTTAGCGCTATTGACATTCCTTCTTAAGGAGTTATATCCATTTGCAAGTCCGAAAAATCGCGGTGTTTGTGAATTGTTTTGAAGAAGCAATTTATTCTATATATTATATAATAAAATGTAATGTAGATTTGCAGAATTTGATGTACTTTAACAATCGAGGATTCATTTTGAAACATTCTGGACTCCCTTGATCCTGGAGCCGATCTCCAGAAGGACTACCGAAAAAAAGCAGCCTGGCGTTGAAGACGACTTTTTTGTTAAAAATTACGCCAGACCAAAACATGTTATCATAATAATAGATAAATACAGGTTGTGGTCTAAGGACTAATCAAAATTTTCTTTTTTTTTTTAATTATTTTTTTTGTTTTTGAAAAAATGGCGGCTTTTGAAAAAAAAAAGTTTGGCCTGGAAAACAGAAAGTATTATCAAAAAACTGCTTCCTTTGACCTGACACATACATATATCTAAGAAAGATAATTGGCTCACCGACTGTGAAAACAACGTTTCGAGAAAAACGCGTTTCAAGTTTTGGAAGCCGGTTACTCAATGTTAAAAAACTCTTACAAATACTTTAATATCGCCGAAAGTATTTGCCGGTTCAACTTCAAATTTTTGGAGAATATTCTCAAAGATATGTTCAATACAAGTATATGCAAAACAAAAAATCAGCTTGCTGGATATACGCCTTAACGCTGATCTACTTTATCCTTTATCAAGTAGTGGCATTGCTCCGAAATAATTGATTTTCCAAACTAGGGTTTCAAAATATATATATTATCTGCCATTTTTAAAATCTTAATAAAAATATTTCTAATTTAAAATCAATTTCATTTTATATTTTTCAGACCATGAACAATGCCTACAGCATTTTTGCGCTACTACTCAATATGAATAATTGAATGAAGTAGGTATATTAAATGATTGCTATTTTCTCGAAATGATGAAACCTGCTATTTATTTTTTATTTCGCCTACCAATCTGATAACTTCGAACACGTTTTTCACAACCAGCTTGATGAAACGAACAACATTTGTTAAATTGGCAAATTTAGCTGTTGAACTTTATTATGAATACTTGGGTATTAACAACTAGAAACAAAGATTATGAATTTAAAATATTATATGTAAAAATTTAGTTTAAAGAGACAAATTATTTGAGCGCGCTTCAAGAGAGTAGTTTTTAGTAGCACGCTTTAGGTAGAGTACGGAGTCTCTTCCGTTAAACATTTTAACAATAAAGCTATATTCTATATCATCAATATACGGTTTTAATACCACGAACATTTGTTGCTTGAGTGTATCAGGTGATTTCAAACTTTTTTTATTTCAAAATGTAGTTCACTATTGAGGAACCTTTTTTGAACTCCATAACTATAGTTTTAGATTAAGCAGGTAAAGGATAACAATTTTATAATTTTCTAGGTAAACATCTGCGCATGTTTAAACCTCACAAACTAAAATAAATTTGAAGGAAAGATGGTGTGTTCAAATAACAACGGGAATTTTAGTTTTTGAAAAAATATAGGTGTATGCATTAATTCGTGCGGTTTTCTAAGAGAGGGCTCTACTAGTATTACTTCGCGTCGTATTCATCTGTGGCTATATTCATTTCAAAGGTACTGCCATTTCGCGTCGTTTTCAGTAGATATAAATTGTTTGAGCGTGAACAACAATTTGTTTCATTCCTTTGAAAATGTCGAAATTTGTACCAGATAAAGTGTTTTTGCGGGGAGTTCTTCTTCATTATTTTAACATGAAGAAAAGTGCTGCCGAAAGCCATCGTATTTTACTGGACGTTTATGGTGACCATGCTTTAGCCGAACGAACGTGCCAAAAGTGGTTTGCACGGTTTAAAAGTGGCAATTTCGACTTAGACGACGGAGAACGACCCGGACAGCCAAACAAACTTCAAGACGAAGAAGTGGAGACATTGCTCGACGCAGATGCATGCCAGACGCAAGAAGAACTTGCAAAAGTATTAGGAGTTGATCAAGCAACCGTTTCCAGACGATTAAAATCATTAGGATTCATCCAGAAGCTTGGAAATTGGGTGCCTTATGAATTAAAGCCAAGAGACGTCGAACGTCGATTCTGCATATCGGAAATGTGGCTTCAACGCCACCAAAAGAAGTCGTTTTTGCATCGGATTGTCACTGGCGATGAAAAATGGATTCATTATGATAACCCAAAGCGCAAGAAATCGTATGTGAAGCCCGGCCAACCATCAACATCCACGGCAAAGCCGAATATCCATGCTGCTAAGGTTATGCTATGTATTTGGTGGGACCACAAGGGTGTGCTCTATTATGAGCTATTGAAATCGGGTCAGACGATCAATGGGGACCTCTACTGATTAATTCGTTTGAAAAAGGTCATCGCGGAAAAATGACCATAATATGCGGCCAGAATCAATAATTTTTCATTATGACAACGCTCGGCCACATGTTGCAAGGCCAGTAAAAAGGTATTTGGAAAACTGTGGGTGGGAAGTTCTACCTCACCCGCCTTATAGCCCAGACTTAGCACCTTCCGATTACCACTTGTTCAGATAAATGCAGAATGCCCTCACCGGAGTATGCTTCAGTTCAGAACAGGGTATCAGAAATTGGATTGATTCTTTCTTGACCTCCAAGCCGGAGAAGTTCTTTTGGGATGGGATCCACAAACTGCCAGAAAGATGGGCAAACATCATAGCTTCCGATGGGCAATACTTTAAACATTAAATGTATAACAATTTTTTCACAATAAAGTCTTAATTTTCGTAAAAAAACCGCACGAATTAATGCATATACCTTATTTATTTTATTCATTTGCCTATATTCATGTTTTCGTCCTCGAAATAGCCCTCATTCGATATTATGCACTTATGCCAGCGCTTCTTCCCCTTACAGTCTTTAGCTCTTTCAGCGATGCGCTTTAAATGTCATCTTTGATTGTAATACACGGAGCCATGTCGGGCGAACATGGAAGCTGGGATGTCGTCACAGTATTATTTTTAACCAAGAATTCACAAACAAATTCACTTTTAAGCCTCCCGTCAGTCAACTAATCATCTTCTGACAACGCGATGGAAGTAATTTATGCTTAGCAAAGACTTGTGGCTTCGTCAGTGGCACACGGTCAATAGCATTCATAACTGCAGCTGATTGGCCATCTGGAGGTCCAGATTAAAATTCATTCGACTAAAATTAATGGTTAGAGCTGAAGAACATGTCAAATACCCCACAGAAATTTGGAGAATCTCAAAAAAACTTGGGTTCCGTGCTGCTATTGAGCAATGACCGAATCATTTGAGGGCTTTTGTCAAAGCAAAGGTTAACAATTTCGAATAAAATTTTGTCCGTCGTTCATCTAATTAAAATTTTACAGCTACCATTAGTAGTATGCAGCTACGCATTGAATAAACACTCTAAATTGCAAACTAAGTAAACATTAAACATTTCTGTGTTTATACACAAATAAACTTACATTTTGGGACCTTTGTAATCATGATGCCCATCTGCACCCGGGGCATCCGGACCGCCGTCACCTCCAACACCGATTTCTATAGTATTGTCAGCTGTTGTTGGACTTGGTGTTGATGGTGATGTCGCCTCCATTTGTCCGCCTGCCTGTCCTTGGCCATAGACTGCCGCTTTTTGACCGTCTAATGTTTGGTCCGGCATTGCGTTGCCATATTGTGTCATTTCGTTGAAAGATTGTAAGCGTTGCACTGGGGCTGGCGTTTTTCCTGAAATAAGGCAAGAAAAACATAAATTTTATTGTATGCAAATGTAAATGGAAGCAACGAAAAGCTTGCGCTGCAACAAAATTAACGCGCCCCTTGCATTCCTCAACTAATTTTGTTGCACGCAAGTGTCGTGTTGTGTGCTGTACGCGCCCTTGGCCATTATTAAGGTGGCGTAGCTGGTGTATACCTACCGTTAACAACTAACGGTGTAGCATCGTTTTTGCCACATTTCCTTTTTTGTTGTGTCGCCCCATTATCTTGTCTATGCCCCTTTAAATAAGAGCTGAATGAGCGCGCCAGTTGCCCACAGTTGTGCGCCAATGTTGCAATATGGTATGCACCGACTTTTATTACGCTTCCATGAGCAACTCGCTTCTCAGCCCGCTGGCATATTGTGGCGAGTGGCATAAACAGATTGTCAGCTGCTGATAAGCACTGATTACTTAGCTGCCACTTTTCGCACCTGCCACAACGCGAGTCAACGCGTCAGCAACGACGTTGAGGGCGTCAAGCTTAACAGCAACAGCAATAATAATAATGACAACAACAACAATATAAGCAACAACAATAATGATAACAGCAGCAACATCAACAACAACAACACAAGTTATATAACAACTGAGACGTCGCTTCCACCTGCCGCAGCAACAACTGCCACCCACGAGTTTGCCAGTACAAAACGTGGCGCCTCAACTTTGGTCGCTTAATTGGCTTCATTTCGTTTCCTTGCAGCGCATTTTCACGCGTTTAATAATTTAAATTGAATGCCATTGTCGACATTGCTGTCGCTGCGAGCACACGCGTACGCAGCAACACGGCAGCGGAAGTGGCCCTGTCAAATGTCGCAACACCAATTTTCCGCTTCATAGACAGCTGATTACGTAAGGGCGTGCGCGAAGTAGCTGCCTCGCGAAAGTTTTCTCTCTCCGACTTTTATTGCGTGTAAATTAAATATTGCAATTAACCGTTACTTGTTTGTGCAAATATTTGAATTTATTGGCTTTTTTTTTGCGGATCGATCAATGTGTCAACATCATTCCCAACTGTATAACTTGATTAATGCCCGCTTTCAAGCGCCTCCATGTTTTACCTCTGCGCAAATAATTTTTAACAAGCAATTTTGATGAGGTGTGAATTATAATAATCTGCATGTTGATTAATTTATTTTTTTTAATTACTTTGTTGCTTATTATCGTATTATATGAGTGGTTGTGCGCCACCAAATAAATTTTCTGTCAAATAAATGCTGTATAATTAATTTGCGGTAACTTTCCAGCGACAGAAACTGTGGAAAATGGACGTGAATATAAAAACTCAATAGAAAAAATATCTAAAATTTGGATTACTGAAATGACAGCGTACATAATAGACTGGTTAAAGGTTTCCTGTAGCATTTGTATTCTGAAGAAGAGAAAACTTCTGAGCTAATCAACCTTAAGGGGCACACCTAATGTGATCGCCTAAACAAAACGCGATTTTTGAGATTACAAAAACTACTTCAGTTTTCTTTAGAATTTAAAGATATATTTATACATATTTTAAAGAAAAAACTTGATAGTGATCGATTTATTTCTCTGAGTAATCACGCAAGAAAATTTGAGAAAAACGTGTTTTAAGGTAAACTGACGGAGTTGATTGAACTCAGCGGCTACAGTTTGGAAGGCCATAACTCAAAAACTATTCGAGATATCAATTTAAAGCTTTTGTATGTTATTTTTAAAGGTATAGCATAAACGTATTTATCAAAATATGAATGAAGCTTTTAAATTATCTTGCAACTATATTCTTTACCAGTCCTTACTTCGTCCAGCCAGCCAGGTTTACCTAACTCGAGAGATTGAATTACACCAAGGTTGGTAGAGTTAATGTCATCAACTACCATACTTTGGCATCTTCAGATTAATTTTAGAAAAGAAACATTTAAATGAAGATAGCAGATCTTTGCATAAAAATGGCTTTAGATATCATATCCCAATTAGAGATAGGTTAAAACGTGGCGTGAGAAACTTAAAATGCTGGAATTTTTTCACTCTCATCGCATTCCATGAACAGTTCTCTAATAAATATGAAGTACTCGCTAAGTCTCATACGTATATACTATGAATTGTGGATTGGTGAACTTCCTTATATCGTATGATTTGATGATGGAGTAGAATGTCGCGGGTATGAATATAACATCTGATCACATGTGACCCGAATTGACAAAGAGAACTTTTTTTAATACAAATATCTATTATGGCCTTCGGCTACTGAGCCGATATAAGAATGTCAACACTTGTTTTAACTAATACTCGGCCAAACTGGTCTAAGCCTGGGTTATATTTCTTCAGATGATATTCTAGGCAAGATACTTTTGTATTTTTAAGCCAAATTACGGAAATAGAAGTTTAAGTTTCTCTGCTTTTTTAAGAGCGTTGGAGGAAGATTGAGAGTTCTTTAGGGTTTTAAATATTTGTAAGTTGCATTGTAAATGTGCCTTTAGTTTAAAAAGTCCGTGAAACCAAAAATATGTGCAAAAGATGACAGAATAGTCAAAATAGTTAGCTTTCTGAAAAAAAATTAATAAAATTGTCTTTGAAAAACATTACTCAAACCCTTTGGGCATATTCCGTATTAGTAAGGAAAGGAAATATTTGGATTAGCTTAAGAGAAGAAAGCACGCGAAGGCGTTCCAAAAAATTAATGTTTTATTGTCTTTATCAAACCAGCCGATTTTTTATTTTAAAGGTCATAATTTAGACAATTTTTAATGCGAAAATAATTGAAAACTTTTTCAAAATAAATGGAAAAGTTTTTCGAAGGTTTGCTGTCTTCCTTAAGTCTAGGCATAAAAGATTCTAAGATAGTTTTGTCTTACTAACGCGAATACTTGTAGTTAGCGTGAAATTTGAGCATATAATGCATAGTATCTGTTCTGAGGAACAGGATTTGTTATTCGGTGTGATGAAGACTTAAATGAACGAGTTAAAAATAATGAGACTTAATATATAAAGACTTTTTGTCGCTGATAATTATTTTATATTCCTTTATTTATTGAATCGTCCAAATTCGATCTATAAATACTTTGCTTCTAAGTATGAGTCATAAAATATTAAATTAAAGAACTGAAAATATGCTCATGACACGAACCCTTAAATAGAAGACGTCAGAGTGACACGATTAACGAGCTTCTGTTTCGAAGATCAGAAGCTGCCTACACGCTCACACATTTACTCATAATTAATATTTTTAAAAAGATACATCTTTTTTAGGTGAAATTGAAATTATTCTTCAGAAACTTACTTCAGAACTTTTGCAATTTCACAATATTTTTGGACAAATACTTGTTCTGAAAAAATATAAACAATACGGAAATCAACAGAGCACCGCGAAGACGAGCGAAGTTGGCGACATTTACGCAACAGCCGCGAACCGAATTAACGCGATGAAAAACCTCAACTGAAGCACTTAAAGGGCGAACAACCGACGCAGATCGCAAGCGATTACTCAGTGTCGATGAGATAAAGAAAAATTGGAGCAGAGAAGATGCTCTCGTTGTGTTGTCACTTCAGTGCAAAATAAACAAGACGAGCAAATAAAAACAAATTAACGTATATTTATGAATAAACTTAAAATTGAATACAACGAACAACTGATAAGCAATGAGGGCAGTAATGGGAGAGACACAATATTGAACATACCGCAACTTCAGGTGACACACTTATAGAGATCAACACAAAAGGATCGTGAACACCCATAACTTAACTGAGCATCCGTGCTGAAGTGTTGCACACAAAAAGAGACATGCTCTTTTCCTATTTACTGCCAACACGTGAGCTGAGCGAACTGTCAATAAGCAAAAAACATAAATACACTGACAACAGTTAACAGCCACGGCTACATGAATTTTATTTGCACTTCTCTGCTTGTTGTTTTAATACCGGGAGCATCAATATTTACTCGATATTTCACACATTATCGAACCACTTTAAATTAACTGTTAACTTGTTGGGTAAATTGTATGAATGATTTTTTATTAAATTGAAAAATATCGACACAACTTTTATTTGTAGTACGATGACAGGCGGTGATGAAGATGTAGTTCAACATAATATGTAAGTAGAAGGAAACCCTGTAGGAAAATATTTAGCGATTAGAGAACTTTTTTACAAGAAATATACGAAAAGTGTCAAATTTGGGGTGGAAGTTGATAGGACAGATTGTAAACGGTTCTTTTCTTGCATTGATCTACTTGTATGACTACTTTCAAGTCTGATTCGAAATAAAAGACCAACACCTTATTATGAGTTGAGGTACGTCATAACTTTATGACGCCAATATCCATTTATAATATGGTATATACGTATGTTATATACTTACATACTTATATGCTTATATGAAAAATTAAGAGCGTAGAGAGATGCGAATTCAACATCAACAAAGTTGGATTACTATAGCATATACCTATCATACAAACCGATCGCAATTAATTGCTTGTATAGAAAAATTTTTTATTTGGAGAGATATATTTACGAAATTTACACGGGTTATTGTTCAAAGTTTTTTTTAACTTTTTTTTTCGATCCCATGGTGATTTTTTGTTGGAAATACCCAAAAAAAAACAAATCCCTGAAAGTTTGAGCCCTTAATATTCATATTAAGTACTAGACCAAGGCCTGTAAAGATTTTCCATCTAAAATACACGTAAAACTTGATATTTTTTTCTTTTTAATTTTATTACTCAGCGGCATTTGATGGAATTATCTCACCCGTCATTAGGTATTCCTCAGAATTGAACGTTCTACAAAAGTCTCCATTGCGGTAAAGTTATAATTTGCACCTGCGGGGTAGTACGTGCCCCCAAACCTAATTTATCGAGTCACTATAGCATATAGCTACAATACAAACTGAACTATCGGAATCAAGTGAATGTAAGGAACCTTTATATTTGTGAAGGGTATTATAACTTGAGTGCAACCGAAATTAACATTTCTTCTTGTTTTATCTTATCGTTAGCATAT